TCCATTGCAAAAATAAATTTAACCACCCCATTCGTTCTTGCACATCTGCACAGATTTCATGTCATGATGGGAGGAGTTGATTTTAGGGGTGTTTTGAGTATACCTTCTACTCCTGGGGCAATGATTGGAATGTTTTGGACATTTTGGGATTTAAAAATTTTTTTTAACAAGAATTCAGCTACGAGGAGACTTGGAAAGGGAGCTTTGATGGATCTGGGGCCATGGAGCAATAAAAAGATAGTTCAGGCCTGTTGGAGGTTCACAGGGCAGACCATAACAGTCAGTGCTGTGTTTATGGAGGAATATTCTGTCAGATGATAAAAAGGAGATTTTATCTAAACATTGAACTCAGTGAGGAAAGATGGGATACAAATGCAATAAACAAACAGAGAGAACATTCTAAAAATATGTGTTCCTCAACAGTGGAATAGGCTATTTTAGAAAGTTGTGGGTCCCTCTTTCATTAAATGCTTAAGTAGAGAATGACGGGCGCCTATCAATAATTACTGCATCCACAGGGAATTTGACTAGATTAATATTATGATTGCTTTAATTTGCCTCCTAGAGACAAAAAATTAAAAAGAGCTTTTATTCAAAGTATCATAATAGATTTCTAATACAACATGACAGCTATGTTTTCACCTATACAAAGCCAATAAAATATGTTTGTAAGAATTTTCTAGGTTGTACTTGTAGGATCTACCAATTTTAAAGGTCCTCTAGTGTGACATATGATGACTCTTTCATTTCAATAGGGTTCACTATTATCCATGGTTTCCACAGTAAATTCAGAAATGTATCCCTCGTGGATATGGGAGCTGTACTGTCATTCTTTGGAACCAAGTGGAATCCACAAAACAGTGGTATCTTTATTGTACTGACCAAAAAGGCTTTTACCCCTCTAGACCTCTCCATAGATGTTGGTCTTGACTGCATTATTGCTGTACATGAAATGCTTGGCTCGATTGTCAATGTGAAAGGATCTGACTGAAATACAGTGTATTTAATATACTCTTTGGCATCCAAATATATTACCATATTGGTTACATAATACTTTTAACCTACTTTGGGAGAGCAATCTTTTCTCTCGCTAAGGTATTTTCTTTGATGTGGTCTGGAGTTATTAGCTGTAGGCTTGTATTCAAGTTGGCTGGGAATGTCTTTGTGGCAGTTTAATAAAGACTGAGATCCCTAGTGATTAATAGGCCCAGACAAATAAATATCCTTAGATTGTTAAAGGGTAAAATGGCTTGAGAACCATAAATGCCTTTCCAAATGTATGGCTAGAATAGGGATGATGTAGCTGTGCTGAACAGCTGGAGCTGGCTTCTGTGGATGTGTTGTAAGCTTAATTTTGCCCATGGCACTTTGGAATATTAACTTTTATCCCATTTGGAAAAGTTTAACAAGCATGTTGGTGACTCCAGTGACTTTGGATATAGTTGTGCCTTTTATGATGGACATCTTTTATGTCCCTGGTATGGCACTAATGAAAGGAACTGTAATTATTCAAAAGTGTAATTATTTCTAGAATTGGTACAGAAGCATTTTAGTATTATGATTTTGAAAATATGTAGAATGTGACTTTCAAAGCAACCTTGGGGAAAGATTTATTTGTTTTTAGAAGTGATTATTTTATATGTGTGTAGATACTTTGAATGAACAAGGTGTATTTGTGTGGCTTCTTGGCATTGTGGAATTTAGTTCCTAAAGAAAAGGACATTGTAGTACTTGTTGTTGGTTTTGTTTCGTTTTGTTTTTGCTAGTGTCTTAACATTGCTTCTCAAATGCTCCCCGGTAGTCTTTTAAGAATATCTATGTCAGGGGTCCTCAAACTTTTTAAACAGAGGGCCAGGTCACAATCCCTCAAACTGTTGGAGGGCCAGATTATAATTTGAAAAAAGTATGAATGAATTCCTATGCACACTGCACAGATCTTATTTGTAGTGCAAAAAATCATTTAAAAACAATACAATAATTAAAACGAAGAACAATTTTAACAAATATAAACTTATTAGTATTTCAATGGGAAGTGTAGGCCTGCTTTTGGCTGATGAGATAGGATTGTTGTTGTTGTTGTTGTTGTTGTGTGCTTTCAAGTCGTTTCAGACTTAGGTTCACCCTGAGCGAGGGCCGGGTAAATGACCTTGGAGAGCTGTATCCGGCCCTCAGGCCTTAGTTTGAGGACTGCTAATCTATGCAATATAGGGACCAGAAGCCTTGGAGCCATATACATGCAGATCTCTGCATGGCTAATTTGGGGGTTCCAGTTTTTGCTTTCAGAGTTGCTCCTCATAATGGAGTGATCCCACTTATTTCCTTGCAGCTCAGTTGAGCTGCAGTGGAAACTTTATCTAAATTGCTGCTATTAGCAGTGGTAGGAAAACAATATTCTCAATGTAGATCACACCCATTCCCCAACAATTCTTAGTCCTGAGCAGCCAAGGATCAAGATTTAAATCTCCCTATCTCTCTCCACTGAGTTATGTACAGGTGGTCCCCAAGTTACTAACCAGATTGGTTCTGTAGGTTTATTCTTAATTTGCAAGTTGGAACAGGTACATTTTAAAGTGTGTGTATATGTGTATGCATACACACACACATACATACACACAAGCTTTGGAAATCATCAGGAAGTTTTAATGCCCCTGTGGTATTTATTTTACTGTCTCTGTCCCTATTCACAAGATTTCACCTCACTTTCTATCCCTGTGATAACTGTATTTTGAAAAATGTGGCTTGTTGTGGAAACAAGGATTGGGAATAAAGCTTCAGTGGGAGACACCTTTTCCCCATGATAACTCTTCCAGGAGTGAATTTCTCTTCCGAGGGGTAGATTTTTCTTGCTTCCTGTTGTCTTATCCCCGTTCTAAACTTGAGGCGTTTGTAAGTTTGATGATTGTAACTTGGGGACTGCCTGTATTGAAGATCTTCCTGAACTCACATTGACACACTATACCAGCATATCTCTATGGCAGCATAGGTGATAGTGGGAAAAGGAAGAAGGCAATGGGTACTGTGATGGCAAAGAAAATAAGGCATTGAAGAAAAGGTTTGGAACTGGTGAATTTTATTTGCCTTCAATAACCACCACTGTATTCCCAAAAGAGGGTAGTAGCTAGTATAGTGCACTACCAGAATTTGAGTCTGTGGGTGCATTTACACTGTACAATTAATACAGCTTGACACCATTTTACCTGCCATAACTCAATGCTGTGAAATGCTAGAAATAGTAGTTTGATGTAGTATTATTTATTTATTTATTTACTGTATTTGTATACTGCCTTTCTCAGCCTATCGGCGACTCACTTTTTAGTGGTAGCGCTTTTTGACGGAGAAGGCTAACATCCATGTAAAAATGCAAATCACTTGATTTCATAGTATTGCTCCATGGCAGTCAAAATGGTTTCAAACTGCATTTATTCTATAGTTTAGATGCACCCTGTGTGCTGTACCACAGAATTAAGGAATGGTATCCACTTGAATTGATACCAGATGTGCATTTAAGGCAGAAAGATTTGTTCACTCCTGATGTAATGGATAGAACATTATATATGACCATGATCAAGGGCTAAATTATATTTTTAAGAATTTGAAATTTGAAATATTTTCATTATCTGGACACATTGTCTATAACAGTGGGAACTTTTGCTATAGATGGGTTCAGTGTTGAGTGAGAGGTTTGTAAAAAAATCCTGGGACTGCTCCCGATTTTGAATAATTTAGCTTCCTGCATCTAAGGATTTATGGGACATTTCAGATGAAGTTACTCTATGATTGCTCAGCTTGGCATCAGCTATATTAAAGATAGTACTTTTTAAATATTAGTACAAGTAGAAACAGGAACCCACAAAAAGATATTGCAGTTGCCATGGCAACTATGCACCTGAGAGATTACTTTGCTTCCTTACTACTTTGAAGCTAGGAGAAAAAAAAATCATGGTTTGTTAATGTGACAGTTGTGATGTCGACTAGAAAGGATCGGTTTATTGACTTTAGAATTATCTTTAAATGTATAGAATGGTTGCTTCCCTTTTGTTACAAGAACAACCACCACTTTATGAATGATAAACATGTGACGCTTACATAAATACTATACTGTCAGGTCTTCCAATTACTATAAGTCATTTATGTAAATCTGCCTTAATAAAGCATACCCATAAAAATTATGAGGCTTGTCTCCTTGATAATTGTTAAAGGTGAGAAATTGGGGTTCTTAGTGATAGAATGAAACACAAAAATCCCAAATTGATTGAATCATGCAGCAATTGGCTGCTTAAAAGCACTTCATTGTCTTCAGGCTTAGCAGAAATGTTAACCATCTAACCACAGTGCCTTTCTTTAGAATAGAAGTTCTTGTACATTCATCCTTTCACATAATATTATAAATGAGGGTGAATTTTACAAAGTGGATGAAGGAAACAATGTTGGCCCTGTGATGCAGAAATGTTAAATGTCTCCATTCTTACACTGGCTAGTAGAGGTTTGTGGTTATCTGGTTAATTTTGCTCTGGAATTCGTAGCCCTGTCACTTCACAGAAGAGAAGCTGGACAAGCAATTCCTTGTTGCTGCTTACCTCCACTTCTGTTGGAAAATTGAAAGTTCAAAATACTATCTCATAATTATTGTTCTATTGATTTCTAAAGTCTTACAATGGTAAAGAAAAATGCTAGAGATTACCAGATGTCCCTTCAAACAATGAGATGTTCTTGAATTCTGATTTAAATGGCCCTTTTGTTCTTGTTGTCATTCATCATAATCATTTGAGAAAAAAAGAAATGATAAATGGATTAAACTGACACATCTTGGAACCATCTTAACCCCTTCTATACTGCCATATAAAATCCAGATTATCTGCTTTCAACTGGATTCTATGGCAGTGTAGACTCATATAACCCAGTTCAAAGCAGATAATGTGGATTATCTGCTTTAATAGTCTGGGTTATATGGCAGTGTAGAAGGGCCCCTTGACAATTAACGGTGTTTCTTTTCTTCACAGGCCTCCGGAGCTAGCATCAAAGTACGCAAACATCTCAGAAGGGGTTTGTAAGCCTGGGTATGCAACTGCACTCATGACTTCCATTTTCCCAAAGTAAGTACTTGCTTTATAATCTTGCTTTTATACTTCAATATTTATCCAGGTTGTGCTATATCTTTGATGATGAGTCATAATTTACTGTCATCATTTAAATGGATTCCAGTGTGTATGGTTTTTTTTAGTGAATAGGAAAGGATATGGGTGTGATGAATACAGTTCATTCTCAGTCTTTAGATCGAGAAGTGAACATTCTCTCATAAAAAGTAAGTATAATATTATATTCCTTCTCAAAACAACTTTCAATGAAACCACAATTCAGCCAGCATGTTTTGAGAGGTTTCAAGAGTCACTATTTAGTTTCTGAGGCAAATTGCGTATTTAATATATAAAACTGTGCCTTAGAACTGGAATGACTAGCATCAATCTCTGTAGAATGAAAGCAAACTATGCTGGTTCCTATATTCATGTATCATACTTGATTTGTTTATAAAAAATATGTTTACCATCTTCTACAGTCATTAATAAAAGCATCTGTGCCTGAATATTCATGTAGTGTTACTCCTCTTCCTGTTTCCTTTTCTTGTGTTCTTCATCCTTTAGATTACAAATTGCAATTGCAGATTTGAACTGCCAAGTCCATGTTAGCTTTCTAAAAAACGTATTGACTTGATAATTCAGGTGATGATGATATTTATTTATATTCCGCTTTCCCCCAAAATTGAGACCCAAGTGGCCACTTGGGACTCAAAGCAGCTTAAAAGTATCAGCAGCTCAATGTGTGAATAGATTTAATTAAAAAGTGTTGGAAGTGACAGAAAAAAATATTTCCATGGCATTTTATATGACATTTTAAAGCTACAAATCACTCTTTGATGTAGCCATCATTGAGATTTCTGTGTCTAATTCAGGGAGGGTTGAAAGGGAAGGAATCAAGGATTCACCTGCTTATAAAGAAACACAAACTTCAAATTGACACACACCTGTGTTTTATGCTGAAGTATCTTCAAATAAATCCATATATATGGCAGCACATGAGGGAGTACGAAACAAAACACAAGGAAATATTGAATGGGTTGTGTTTGAAATGAGATAGATGCTTAATGACCTTGCTGTGTTCTTGTTGTTCACTGAAATATTTTCTATTTGAAAGCCTTCAGTTGTCTATGAGCTTAATTCCTCAATTGCTTTCGGCCTTTCTGTGAGAGGATGGTCTGTTTTTTGTGTCTTAGCCAAGAGTTTTAGTCCTATAAAAGTAACCTGGGAAGTTAGATAGTGCTTCTCAGGTTACCTGGTGTGGTGGACCAGCAATTTCCCCCCAATGTACCAGGGACACATTTGTGCCCATTGACTACATTTGTTTGTTTCTTCCCCAGAAGCTTGCTAGAGAACAGCCAATGGCTCAGGGACCAGCAGTGATCTAGGGAACACCACTTAGAGTAGTGCTGGTGTAAATCCTTTATTTTGTCCCACCCTTTTCAAACTGAAAGATTTTCTACTTAGAAACAGGTTGTGGTTACCTGAAGTTTTCCAATGCAAGGATTGCAAAGGATTTGAAGGTGGAAGTTCATGAGATTTAAGGACTATACTATGTGAAAATTCCCAGTCCACTGTAAGTGATGAACAAACAATGTTCATATCTAAGAATCACAAGGACTTTTCCTTCTAATTTTGACTGCGATATCAACATTTGATTGGGATAGATCAAACTTTCTCTTTCTGTTTCTCTCACCTCATTTCTCTCCTTGACTTGGGGCAGAAGCTCTGCTTCCTAGAATAGTTGTTATTCCCCATTATCAGAAGAAAACTTAAGCAGAGGAATAAGCTCACACTGGCTATGATGAATGTCATGCCTATTTGGCAGGATGCCACATGTTCAAATATGGCAAAATTTTAATTTCATCATGTAAGTTGTTTCTGTTATTTGTATTGTAAAGGTGTTCCAGTGTGGGTGTGATATCTGTTCCTCATGATAGACAGATGTGTGGTGGACAAAATGCACAAGACTGGGGTCCCTAGTAGGGCCTCAGTACATATGGAGCTATTGTGTGGTGTGCCAATTTTAATTATTTAATTTTGAAATCTATTATGTGTATGGTCCACTTAGTATTAAACAGCAAAGTACTACAAAATGATGTTTATTTTTCTTATACTTGGGCTTGTAATCATGTGCTCCTGGCACTTTAACTCCCACCCTCACACCAGCTCATCTTCGACTAAAAAAACATGAGATGACAGGTCTGTTGCTGTAAAGCCCTTGTTAAGTTCAAAGGCTCCAGTTGTCCTTGCAGATTAATTCAACAATCCTCCACTGAGCCAGCACTATCTGTTTTAGCTATTAATTCTTTTGGCTGAAGTGAAAACTTCAGCTTAGTATTTTTGATTCTCTTCCCAAGGCCCAAGTCTTACAAGTCTTCACCCATTTAGGAGCCATTCCGATTTAGTAATTATCTGGATGACATGTTGCATGATCATTTTTCGTTCTACCCTCTTCTATGATTGTTTCATATCCGATGCCTTTCTGGCTTTTATAGAGTAGCTTGGGGAGGATTGAATTAACACAATGCTATCCTTAGCCCTTACTGAACCATGCTCTGATTTGAGTGCTTGCAGGAGAGCCAGAATGTGAAATCCTATCTTCCCTTGGTTCAATGCATTTCTAGAAAGTTATAGTTTTATAAGTGTTTTCAGTTCAAAGAAGTAGAAAACAAGAGATGAAACCTTTTTATGGGTCAATTAATTGTTAAAATTCCAGATACAGACTTGTAAGTCAGGTAAATTTTCCATTTAGAATGATCAAAGCAAAACAAATTGATATTGCTGTTCATTGCTTTATCATTTATCTTCATTTTCTATTTTAGTCATTATTCAGCAGTGCTAGCCAGTTCTTTAATACCAAGATGGAAGAAATTCAAGTGCATGGTTAAGCACAGCAGTTTATTCAGCCATCACTGTTAAGGCTTCAAATTGTATAAATATTATTCATGAAAAAGGTAGTAAATGAAGAGGGAAAATTAGATTCCCTGGAAATGAAGAAGTCAGATATGTCATTTAAAGCAGCATTTAAATCTCACAAAACCCTCTGGAAACAAAGTCTGCAAAAAGCAAAACAGAAATTGTTATTGTAAAGTTGCAAGTTAATTTTGAAAGACTACTAAAGTGATCTAAATTCACTTCACTCTAAAGTCAGCCTTGCCATTTGTGGCTCGTGCAGTTTATCTTATGGACTTTATTATCCCCATGTGCAATAAGGGTTCTAAATATAATCCTTTCAGTGAGCACTCCATGAGCTTATTATCTATACTTAAGAAGGTTTCTGCTGGTTTTCTCAGTGGCAAGCTGAACTAGCATTGTTGATCATGATGTTCAATGGAAATAATACATTGGTGTCAAACTTAGCAATTCCTGTTTTGATCCAAGCTTGGTATTGGCTCACATGGTAGAAACATGTGCCAAAACCAGAAAGACCAATCTTTTTTAAAATAATCTTTACTGATTTTAAATCTGCTTTTTACTTAATGCCTCAAAACAGAGCAAATTAGATCTGTACTTTAGTAATAATTTTTAATTTTTAAAATGTGATGTTATTTTATGTGCTGTGTTTAATGATGTTTAATGTTTTATTAGGGGAGGGTCAATTTTGATGTTTTATACTGTTTTTTTATCAATGGCATTGAATTGTTGCCAACACTGTGAACCACCCTGAGTCCCTTTTGCGGTTGAGAAGGACGGTATACAAATACCAGAAATGAACAAATAAATAAATAAATAAATAAATAAATAAATAAATAAATAAAACCAAAATAATACTGCTCAAGTACACTATAACAAAAAACAAAAAAAACAACACCACTTTCTCTACGGAAATATCATCCACTAGAGGTGTCAAGCAAGGTTATTTTCTAGCACCTTTACCTTTTGATCTATATTTTGCACACATACACTTTGATAGTCTGCCCAAATATTCTAAAGACACCAGATCTTGGCTGACCTTGGAAGCTAATCAGGGTCAGCCCTAGTAGGCATTTGGATTGGAGGCCAGCAATTAATACAGGTTCATTAGGCTATATTTCAGAGGAAGAAACTGGCAAAACCACATGTGAATATCTCTCATCTAAGAAAATCCTATAAAATTATTGTGGTTGTTGTCAGTCAACAGGCGACTTGAAGTCATAGACACACAGGTTTGCAGTAGGGGCATTATTCTTCCATGTCCTAACAATTTCCTCTATGCCAGTGTTTCTCAAATTGTGCTCCTCCGGGTGTTTTGGACTTCAGCTCCCAGAATTCCCAGACAGCTTACCAGCTGTTAGGAATTGTGATAGCTGAAGTCCAAAACATCTGGAGGAGCACAGTTTGAGAAACTCTTCTCTAAGTTTTTTCTAGATAAGGCAAAAACCTCTTGAACTTAACCAGCTACTAGTGTTATTTGCAAGTATTTTTAAATTATAATTTATATGAAGGCTATGGTATTCTCTAAGAATATGCTCTATTGATGATCAGCAAATGGAACAATCTTATCCATATAAATATCTTGCACATTTATTCTGTGAATTCAACATACGGACATCCCATCTGCAGAGAACAGGACAGATCAAAATTCTAGCCCAGTAATCCAGTTTCTTTTCTTAAAGCCTGAAAACTTTGCCTTAACAATAATCAAAATCTTTAAAGTAAAATCTGCACTCCTAATTTCATATGGAGTTCCCATATGGTTCCTGAATTCAAACACTTCTTTAGAAAGCATGCAATTCCTTTTTGCTTAAATCAGTTGAGAGCCTAACTAGGAATGTCACTGAAACAACCCGAAAGTCAAAAGTTGGTCTCATTTCTTTAAGTAGCTCCTGTTTATTTTTTGCTTTATTACCACTTATTGCTTAATAACAATCCTTTAGTCTCCCTGGCAACGAGGGGCATGAGTTTATTTGGAGAAAGAATTTGCTGGGAAGAAATACATGCCGTAGTCTTTCCTCTGTTTGTTTACTATCCCAGAAGCTGGAAAAAGCAAAATTAATAGCTAGCGGGAAATGTGAGGGATCTAGATGTGTAAGATTTAT